AGGATTTCTGAGGCTGTAAATCTTTATGAAAGTAGATTCCTCCCATCTTCCTCCCATGGAGCAGCTGGTGGGTTTGAACCACTGACCTTCTGGTTAGCAGCCAAATGCCTTATCACTGTGCCACCAGAGATAGTGCATATGAAATAGGCCCCAAAGGGCTAATGCATATGGAAGAGCTTTGAAAGCAGTTAAATGTGATCTGAATGATTTAATTATCATTAATATGTTCCAAATATATTGCCCTTCATAAAAAAGACCTTTCAGAAGGAGTCTAGTGGTAGGAACTCCCCCCCGTGGCAGGGAGATAAATTTTGGGTCCAGTGGCTACTCAGCATTCTTCAAATCACAGCTCATGGTGATCCGCTTTTTTCTACCTATGATTCAAAGCTGGCCTTGATGCTTGGTCAGAGGTACTTCATGTCCACTCTTTCTGTACGGAGCTTTGATTTTGGAGATGCAGATGGTATTGAGACGTTCATTAGGCGTTGCTGTTGCACCAGCTCTCTGGTCAAGTCTGTTTTTTCCTTTTTGTCATGCCTTTCTCTGGGGAAAAAAGTAAAAACATTATTGATGAGGTAGCTTTACAAACTGACAAGGCTTCATCTGGCATTTTAATGGAAACCACTTGGGGCCATAGCCTCAAGACTTAGCTTTCCAGACAGTGTTGATCTGATCCCAGACACTTGAAAATTTATAGATAGTCCCGAGGGCCTGTAACCAGCTTTTGACAGAGAGATATTCTGTAACTGTGCTGTATAGCCATGAATTCACTGTGGTGCATCAAGACTCTGCCATCATTCTGGGATGTGTCCATGGAATGCACACCATAGCATTTGGGAGAAGATGAGGAACAAGATTTCCAATAAAGATTCCCCTCCACAGGGCTACCTCCACAAGAATGGACTCCTTACCGGGGACCCATTTGCCAGCCCGAACCTTGGGTGTACACATACCTTTCAAATGAGAGCGTGACCCCACCAGTGACACTGGTCTCTTCTCACAGTGGGGGGCTAAGTTATGTAACTGCTAAGTATTCTTACCAGTTGTGCATGGACCTGGACCACAGCCCTAGAAGACTGATTTTCAATTCAATAAAATAAAGATGACAATCAAAGTGTTGAACTAGATTTGGCCTTACTTTTATTCATTGGGCTCAGAGTGTCCCTTGAGGCCTTGGTCATCTTCATGAGAATTACTGGTCAGACCCCAACCTGCATTGGTACAAGGTGCCAAAGGAAGACCCCGTTTTCCTGTCCCTTTGGCACTCTGGAGGTATTTGCTTTCTTTATAGTAAATCTCTGATTACCAACTTGTGTGTTATTTAGTTGCTTCTCATACAAGCAGAGGACAGATTATGAGAAATCTCTTTTTGTTGTTTTCTAGTGATTTTAATTTTGTGTAAGCGAGCACTTAAAGCACATTTAGGAAACCCTATTAAGTGCTAGCTTTTGGGTGGTTCTGGAGCTGTTATACAAAATGGTGAATTTGTTTAGTTTATCTTACATCCTCCTCCAGAGGAAATGTCAAGAGATTGTAACAGAGTTCACACTGGAGAGATGCTGCTTAGTGATTTTTCTAACTGCATAAGCAAGTTTGACTCTAAATGGAAAGTCACTAAAACAGTTCCTATCAATGTATTCTGTAAGTTCAGAAAGTTGAGTAGGGATGTGAAAGATAAAAATAGACCCAAATCAAGTTTCCAGCGATGAAAACTCCAAAACAAATACACTGAATAAGATTAGTGGAAGATTAGACAGTATAGAAGAAAGACTAGTAAGCTTGAAGATGTAGCAATAAAAACTATCTGTAATGAAACACAAAGAGATATTTTCAAAAAGTGAGAAAGCATCAGTGAGCTGTGGGACAACAGTAGGAAGCCTAATCTGTGTATAAGTAGAGACCCCTACGATGAGTGACATAAAAAATGTTTGAAGAAATGATGGCTGAAAATTTTCAGATTTGATGAAAACCATAAACCAAGATGCTCAATGAACCCCAAGCACAAGAAAGATGTAGAGGACTGCACCCAAGCACTTTGCAGGCCACATTTCTCACAACCAGTGACAAAGAGAAGATCTTAAAGGCAGCCAGGATAAAAAGGCCACGTTACATGCAGAGGAACAGAGATAGGATGTCACGGGACTTCTAGTCAGAATCTAGGCAAGTGAGCATCCCATGGAACAGCATCTTTAGCATACTAACAAGAAAAGAAGAGATAGAAAAAGAAAAACTGTACCCTGAATTCCATATTCAGTAAAAATATATTTTAAAAGTGAAGGCTACATAAGGCCTTTCTCAGACATGTAAAAGTTGAAAGAAATCGTTATCAACAGAACTTTGCTATGAGAAATGCTGTGTCCACACAAAAACTTGCACGTGGATGTTTATAGCAGCTTTATTCAGAGTGCCCCAAATTGGAAGCAATGAAGATGTCCTCAGTAGGTGAATGAATATACAAACTGTTACATCCATGCAATGGGATATGATTTAACAATAAAAAGAAATTAGTTTTCAAGCCATGCAAAGACATGGAGGAACCTTAAATGCACATTGCTAATTGAAATAAGCCAGCTTGAAAAGCCTGCATACTATATGATCCCAACTATGACATTCTAGAAAAGAGAAAACTATAGAGACAATAGAAAGATCGGTGATTGCTTGGTGGCTGGGGGCTCAGAGGGGAGGGCAGCAGGGATTGGGCAGGTGAAGCCCGGGAATTTGAGTGGGAGAATTATTCTGTATGGCAGTAGAACGGTGGCTACATGAGATTATGCGCTGTCAAAATCTGTAGAACTGTACAACACAAAGAGTGATCCCTTATGTAAACTATGGACTTTGGCTGATTTAAAGTATGTTGTTGTTGTTGTTGTTAAGTGCCGTTGAGTCGTTTCCGACTCATAGTGACCCCATGCACAGCAGAACGAAACACTGCCCGATCCCGCGCCAGCCCCACAATCCCTGCTATACTTGAGCCCATCATCGCAGCCACTGTGTCAATCCATCTCGTTGAAGGCCTCCCCCTCTTTTGTCGACCCTCCACCCTACCAAGCATGACATCCTTCTCCAGGGAATGGTCCCTTCTGACAACATGACCAAAATAGGTGAGACGAAGTCTGGCCATTCTCGCTTCCAAGGAGCATTCCGGCTGCACTTCCTCCAGGACAGATCTGTTAGTTCTTTTAGCAGTCCATGGTACTTTCAGCATTCTTTGCCAGCACCACAACTCAAAAGCATCAACTCTTCTTCGGTCTTAAAGTATGTATAAATGAATAAATACAGCAATAACAAAAGTCTATCATCAGGAAACAGAAGATCATGTGCAGGTTATTATGTGACAATTAAACCTCAATAAAGCTATTCAAGAATTAACAAAATCTTGGGGTGGTCTTGGTCCTCTGTAACAACGTGGTAACCTCCCAGCTCCCAGGCCTACTGTCCTCAGTTGTTGACTCCCTGAGAAGTGAGGTACAGCTGTCTCCCATGGCTCCTTCCTCAGCCTCTCGAGGGGACTATTGCTGATAAGAGCAACTTGGATGAGACCGTTCTCCAAAGGATGCACATGAGCTATGAGTCATTGTCAGTGGTTTAGTGTGTCTGATCCCCTCTGTGTAGTGGTTTCAACTCTGAAAATCAGCAACCAACGTAATGGGTGTTGTCTGGGAGGCTGAAGATCAGGGTTCTAGTTCTTGTCCTCCCAATAATGGACTGAGATTTTGGACCATGGCAGATCTCAGCATTGTATCTGTAACATGAGTAGGTGGGGCTCGGGAATCTCTGGTCCCTTCAAATTCAGTGCCCTGTTTGTCGGTCTTCACCCTTCTCTTACCTTTGGCATGGAGTGGAATGTGTCTAATGTATGTGGAGACCCAGATCACAGGGGGCTTCTCAGCCTCCCTTTGTGGGTGGAGACCTAAACCTGACCTGCTCCAGACTGGTTGCTCAAGTCAGGGGCAGAGGTTGGTGCTGGGTTCAGGCTATAGCTGCTCCTCTCAGTATTGCTGTATTTCCAGTCTCTCATGCTTTCTTGCATCTCAGGCCTGAAATCTCTCTTCACAAGGAGTTGTCTCCTCCATATCCAAGGAAATGCCCACCAAATTGGCTTTGGCTGTTTCCTTGGCTCAGAACTAAGAGTTGATCTGTGTATCATTGTTCTCCAGAACTCCAAGGTGGAGAGTTGGCTTATCGCTGGAAGATTTCCCTAGTAACAGACTCTTCAGAGCATTTAATGATTCTTATGTTCAATAGATTAAGTGTACATTTTTGGGCAGAAGATATTCTTGTAGCTAATATTTTACTGTGAGCCTAGCTTAAATTATTTTTAAAAATTCTTTAGAATTTGGGACATATTTGAATGAGATCTTTCTTAGGTCTGAATGAAATCATGGGGAAGCACCGGACTGAGTTTTCAACCCAGATATTGAAGTCAAATGGAGCTTTCTGCATATTTAGGGATCTCTTTCTTCTGTACCTTATGTATATTTCTTTTGAGGCTCCATGTTGATGTTCTGTTTTGTCCCTAAAGAGAGAGGGTAGAGAATCTGCTTTGCTGACCTCTTAGGGTATCCTGGGACCATTTGTGGCCTTCTAGACTCGACGGCCTCAGAAGGAAGGTTGGGCAATCTACTTCCATAGTGATACTGCCTTGGAAACCCAAGAAGGGGTCGCTATGAGTCGGGTCCGACTTGATGGCAAATAACAACAACAACAACAGACTTGACGGTACATAACAACAACAATAGAACAATATAGTGTAGTGCCTAAGGCATTTGACTGCTAACCAGAAGGCTGACGGATCAAACCCACCAGCCACTCCTCAGAAGAAAGATTGGGTGATCTACTTCTATAGCGATACCACCTCGGAAGCCCAAGGAGGGGTTGCTTGCTGTGAGTCGGATGTGACTCGAAGGCAGTGAGTTTGGTTTCTTTTGGCTAGAACAATATTAAAGCTTAAGTCCGAAGTGAAAGGACTTAACCCGGTTTTTGTGTTTTGTATTTTTTAGGACTTTGTTTAGAGAAGTTGCCTATTTCCTCTTCTACCAGTAACCTCCATGTGGACCGGGAACAAGATGTCATCACCTGTTACGAGAAAGCAGGGGACATTGCACTCCTGTACCTCCAGGAGATAGAAAAGGTAAGTGAGGACCATGTTTTCATTCCTTTTGATCATTTTTTTTTCCCCATTCAATTCAGATTGTAGAAAACTGTGGTCAGCTTCTGCAGAGCCTTTAGCGTGGCTGCCTCTGGGTGCAAAGCTTGCTTCTTTGTTTAAAGTGAAGGGGAGGATGGTGGTGACTGGGGTGCCTTGTAAAAATAGACGGTTCAGTGTCTGTGAAGCGTTTGCATGTCCCCTGAGCAGCAATGACAGCATGCATCTGTTGACGCCCTCAGCAGCCTGAAGCTGGCTCATCATTCCTATTCATCTAAGCAAAATGGGTCAGGCTTCCTTTATGCCCGGGTGGACAATGTGCCGAACTGCTCATTGGGTTTTGAAGGCTTTACCTTGGAGATATGGCAAAGATCTGCTGAGGTCTCCCGGCCGACCTGCATGGAGCAGGCTGTGTATCCCCTGACATTGTCTGCGATGGTTTCCGCCCAGTGGTCAGTGGTCTGCCTGTGTTGTGGGCAGTGGAAACCAGCTGCTGACAAGCGGACCACGTGAGCTGAGAATGAGTGAGCAAGAGGCCCTGAGCTCACATGTCAGACAGAAGGTGGGAGCCTGGATGGGGCCAGGGAGATACGGGCAGCTTGCCTGTTTAAAGGGGTTACTCCCTTTTGGTTCTGCTCTTCACTAAGTTCCTTCACCTCTCAGGCTAGATTTTCCCAAGTCTAAAATGGGCATAGTAAGGAATCAAGCCTAAAGCACTTGACTGCTAACCAGAAGGCTGGTGGTTCAAACCCACCAGCCACTCGGAAAGAAGACTGGGCAATCTACTTCCATAGAGATACCGCCTTGGAAACTCAAGAAGTGGTTGCTGTGAGTCAGAACCGACTCAATGGCAGTGAGTTTGTTTTTTTGGTTTTTGGATAGAGTGGGAGAAAAAATGTGGAACAAAATTTAAAACATAAAAAAGACCAGGTTTACTGGTCATATGGAGACTGGTAGAACCCTCTAGACTATGGCCCTGAGTCACCCTTCGGGCCTGGAATTGAACTCATTCTGTGGTTTCGCTCTCAGCCAAATAATCAATAGGCCTGTGAGCTGAACACCTCCACCAGGGAGATGCACTCCTTAGAACAGTCAACCGTGGGAGATCAGAAAGGTAGCATTTCCACAGGGAGAAAGGTAGGGAGGCAGGAACACATAGGCAAGGACACAGGGAAAGGGTGACCACAGGGAGGAGGTGGGATGAGCGCTACATTGCGGGGAATGTACTCAGTGCCACAAAACAAAAAGGGTAAGAACTATTGAATGGAAAATGAACCTGCTTGTAAAATTCCGCCCCCCCCCCAAGAGAAGGGTATAATAATAGTTCCTACTTCCTGGGGATTATATACCCATGTGGTCTTGTTGATTCTGATTCAGAGTGACCCTATAGGACAGGGTAGAACTCCCCCACAGGGTTTCTAAGACTGTGGTCTTTACAGAAGTAGACTACCTCATCTTTTTCCTATATAATGGCTGGTAAGGGTTATGTAAGGTCATGCACATAAAGGCACTTCTCCCAGATTCAGGAACATATTAGATTCTTGGTAAATGTTACTTGTTATTATTAATAACAGTAGCTCCTCGCGGTCCCTGCCCCAGCAGTTTCCTGGAGTTCTGATCATGGCCTGACACTGACTTTCCCCTCAGACCCAGAGATGTGTCTTGTGAGACTGAAATGATCAGAAATGTTGTGAGACTTTGAAAATGATCAGAAATCTTGTTTTCCATCAATTTTCTGAATTCTCTAGTTCCATAAGGATTGGAATAGAGAAACCAGAAAACCAAACCCACTGCCATTAAGTCAATTCCAACTCATAGCGACCCTAGAGGACAGAGTAGAACTGCCCCATAGAGTTTCCAAGGCTGTCAATCTTTACTGAAGCAGACTGCCTCATCTTTTTCCCTTTAAGCAACTGGTGGTTTCGAATCTCTGATCTTCTGGTCAGCAGCTGAGTGTTTAACCACTGAGCCACCAGAGCGCCTTTGGAATAGACAGAGACCAGCACAATCTTGGTAGTTTTTATTTTGTAAGTGTACAGACTGGAACCACTTTTGGCTTCAGAAATCTTTCTTGCATATGGTAGCATATAAGATGAGGATAAGAGTTGCCTTTCAGAAGGCAGGGTAAGTGGGGTGCAAATCACAAGAGAGGAAGAGGTGGATAAGAATGATGGGGGTGGTGTCTGACCTGGCTTAACCCAGAACGGATTATAAATCATGATTCATACCGTCTTGGAGTTCAGGAAGATACTTGGCTGTCTTGCCAAAATGTTGTCTATTCCATCAGCAAGCTGCCATGAGAAGGGATTTTTTTTCTCTTTTTTTGCTATTCAGAATTTAGGAAATGATCTTGAGCAAAATGGTCGTACAGCCTGCTTTTAAATCCCCATTATGCTCACTATCTGCCTCCACGATAGCTCCGTGCTGGCCAGCGCTGGGCATGGAGAACCTGCTGACCCAGCCACACTGCTGACCACCCCAAGGGGCCCCACCACGAGGGGCCCCTATTTTGTGCCCCACTCGGCTGTTCTGCGGCCTTCTCGTGTGCTGCCTTCTGCCGGCTGCAGGAAAGGAGAGTTCCCTGTTGCCTGGGTTTTCAGTGATGGAGGGACTGGCAGATCTAGGTGAGCTTCCTCACTGCTGGCTGGCTCTTCAGCTGCATCATCACCGACGTGCATACAACCATAGGAGTTAAAAGAAATTATTTTTCATGGATTTGGGGAAATGGTGATCATGGGACGTTAGATCTGGAAGAGATTTCAGCGATTGCGGAAGAAATTCAGGATGCATAGGAAGTTAGGGCCAAAGCTGAGACTAGAACTCTGGCCTCCTGACACTTAGTTCAGTGCCCACTCACTTTGCTGTCCCAGGCCACCTCAAACACACACAGAACCCCTCACCTTGACATGGAGAACGTACCTGATATGCATTTGACCGAGCAAGCCACAGCTCGTAGTAACCTGGGGAAGCCACTTTGGCCTGGGGTTCAATATTGGGCTGTGCATAATAGAGCTCTCAGATTTCAGGCTCCGATTTTCCAGTATGGGTTTCCCTTGATGAGAAAGCACGTTGGGCCCCCTCAGACCCCAGCAGGCTGGGCCCCAGCAATGACAGGGATTGAACCGGCATTTGACTGTAGCAGGTGCTTGAGAAGCTGTCAGTGGATGGGTCAGAAGTCAAGTGGGGAAATGACCGTTGGGGAAATGACCGTCCATCAGGGACCACTGGACTTTCTGGAAGTTCAAGAAAATTGTGTGCTATTGAAAGGATATCTGCTTGGCCTTAAAAAAAAGTTTTATTTAAATGACTTAAGAATTCTGCTGAGTTGAAAACAGCCAATGTTAGGGAAAGAGAATTGGAAAGCAGTAAAAGCCTATGCAAATAGCACTTGGATTTTCTGGGTAGGCAGCCCTTTGAAATAGACCATCCCACATTTGTTCCTATGTTTGATCTGTTGGGCAGAGGCAGTCGTTGAGTGGTTTCCCCCTCACTTTCCAACCATTCGATAGCAAAGAAACTCTGTCTGCTGGGGGATTGCGGCATATTATCTATTAGTATTGGCTCTTAATTTCATTCACTAGGAAGAATAAGATCTGGGGAGCACTTCTGAGGACAGTTTGGAGTTGTGTTGTGAGGTGCCGTCAAGTGGACTTCGACTCATAGCGACCCTCTGTACAACAGGACAAACACTGCCCTGTCCTGCACCAGCCTCACAGTCCTCGCTACAGCTGAGCCCATCGTTGCAGCCACTGTGTCAGTCCATCTCATTGAGGGCCTTCCCCTTTTCTGCCGACCCTTCACTTTACCAAGCATGATATCCTTCTCCAGGGAATGGTCCCTTCTGATAATATGACCAAAGTAGGTGAGATGAAGTCTGGCCATTCTCCCTTCCAAGGAGCATTCCAGCTGCACTCCTTCCAGGACAGATTTGTTAGTTCTTCTAGCATTCCACGGTACTTTCAGTATTCTTTGCCAACACCACAACTCAAAAAGCATCAACTCTTCTCTGGTCTTCCTTACTCATTGTCCTGCTCTCACATGCATATGAGACGATTCCAAACACCGTGGCTAGGGATAGGCACACCTTAGTCTTCAAAGTGACATCTTTGTTTTCTTAACACTTTAAAGAGGTCTTTTGCAGCAGAGTTGCACAGTGCAATATGACATCTGATTTCTTGACTGCTGCTACAGTGGGTGTTGATTGTGGCAACCACCAAATTGTACTTCTGATGTAGCCCTTTCTCTGCATTGCTCTCATAGTGGGTAGAGCAGTGATGGTCCAGTTGTTTGTTTCCTTAGCGGCAGTGACCTTTCAGAAAAGAGAGCTGACCTTGGCTTCCTCTCATGGTGCCAGCTTAACCTGTGAGAGGCAGCAGAGCACAGCTGTGAAGCGACTGCTAGTGTTGGAATCCTGGCCTTGCCACCTCTTCGCTGTGGGACTTTGGGGAAGTAAAGCAACCTCTCTCTGCCCCAGAAATTGCAATCAGGCTGTCACAGAGATAAATGGGCCAACTCATATACCTCCCAGTCCGTGTTTGGAACACACTAAGTGTCAGCTTTGTTGTCATTGACTGTCCCTGTGCCACCTGCCTGTGGAATCTTCCTTTAGGAAACCTAGCCTTAGAAGATTTTAGACATTTAGATTAAAATCTAGACTATTATAAACATGCTGTTTTATTAAAAATGTTAACTAATTTTGAAGGGAATGGTAATGGAATAATTTTTTTCAGGAGGATTTGGCTTCACCGTTCTTGTGCTGAAGCTACTGGGCCAGCATCTTGCCTCGAGTTCCCCCCATATCTGGATTCTGGACTTCCGTTAACTCCCGAGTATGTGACCTTGGCCCCGGCATTTGCTGCCATGTGCTTCAGCTTTCCATGTTCATGGTGGGGCTGGTAATGCCCGACTTGCCTGGGGCCAGAGAGCCAGCACTTCTTCACCACCAATGGGTCCCAGGCTCAGCACTGGGGGCCTCCCGCATGCTG